CCCCCCCCCCAAAAAAAATCTGGCTCTAAACTGGCCGCGATCTGGGATCGGAGCCTTCATTTCAGATGACAAACGTTTCCAATCCTGGGCCAAATCAGGCCAAGAGAAAGCTTAATCCCGCGGCGGGGAGACGTTTGCAAAAGGTCACACCGACCATAAAATAATAATAATAATAATAAAACACACTATTAATTGCCAAAGCCCACAATTCTTATTCGAGGCCTGTAAAGCCGCCCAGCCTCTCAAGCCAAAGCGAATGGCTCGGCTTTTCCCAGGAAGCCTCTCCTCCTCCCGGCCCTGAAAAACTTTCCCTTGTTTTGCCAGCCTGCTCCAAAAAGAGAGAGGTCTCTTCCTTCGTCTTTGAAGGCCAAATTCGAGCTGGTTTTAGGAGGTTGTAAAGAACATCTCTCCTCCCGGGCCATTAAATCTGGAGGGAGTCAAAAGCACCCTGAAATGCCTGAAGTTTATTCCTGCCCTACACTACACTCAGGGGTTGCAGGAGAGGAGAGGAGATTTCTTTGCAGAGAGAAGAAGGGCCATTGCTCTCCAAAGGGATCCACTGGCTCCCAGCAAGGAGAGAAGCCAGAAGCCCTACAGATAGGGCAGAGCCAGGCCCAGATTTGTCCCTCCATGGCGCTGGATTTTCCTAGTGTTTCAGAGAAACAATTGAGCTGGTTTGGAAAACACACCCATGATAGACAGACACAGAGAGAGAGAGTACGAGGAAGTAGTGCGATCAGTTAAGGCTTTCCCTTCCTTGTTCCAAAAAAAAAAAAGGAGTTTTGTCCCTTCGTTGAAAGCAACGAGTTGGAGACAGGCCTCTCGATCGATCGATTGATTGATCGATCGTACGTTTTCTGGAGCACAAAAATCCAAGGAGACCGAAACAAGGCCAAAATCTCACGAGGCTCCAGGAATGGAGGAAGGAAGGTATAATAATAATAATAATAATAATAATAATAATAATAATAATAATAATAATAATAATAATAATAATAATAATAAATGTGTACTTTTAGGCCAGTTGCGGTCAAGTTAAAAAGTTTTGGCCATTCACTGTTTCGGTTGTGGCCAAGTTTGGTGTTATGTTTTTAAAGTTTTGGGGCAGGTCTGGCGGAAGACAGTCAGTCCTTCCCCGGATCCTCGTTCCTGAGATCTGACTTGGCCTAGAAAGTGACCCTGCCT